CGCCGCCTCGGGGGGCCGCCGCGTCCCCGCTCCCCCGCCGCCCGGCTGCCGCTCCGCGCAGCGACGCTGTAGGTCTGAGCTGGGGTAGGGGCACCGGGATCGCGTCAATCACCTGATCGGGATCACAAAATCACAAGCAATAATTAGGATCTATGCAATTTTTAAACTAGCGATGGGCCAATTACAAAATATATATGAAATCTCTATTTTTCAACCAACGTTTTACTACTTGTTACCTTTCCCATGCTGAATTATTTTGTTGTGATTTTGTACAGAATTTTTAATGACTTTTTATAACGTGGATTTCCTATTTTAAACCATGCAGCTTCATCAATTTTTATACATATCGGAAAGGTAGAAGTATATCTAATTTATACAAAATAATTTAACTAATTTAAACCAGCAGAAAAGTGCTTAGAGAAGTTATGTTGCCTTAGCACTTCTTTCCTTTCAAATAGTTGAAGAAGAAGAAAAAAAAATGCACAATCCGGGCAACTTCTTTCCCATGAAAGTATCTTTTTTTTCTTTTTTTTCTTTTCTTTTTTTTTTTCTTTTTCCTTTCCCCCCTACGACAAGAACCAGATCCCCTAGGTCTTGAGAAGATATAAGAACGAGAGACTTATTTTCTATTAAAACATATCAATTCAACACATTACTTGCACAAACTTGTATATAAAGATTATAAGCAAATGCCAACACCCTTTTTAAATCGAAAGCTGCTTGACTATCACATACAATTTGCACTGTTTCTTTTTAGTCTTTGAACCCCTTGGCATTCCGTGGGTTTTTTGGGTTTGGTTTTTTGGGTTTGGGTTTGGTTGGGTTTTTTTTTCTTTTTGAAGAGAACTTGAAGATGTTAATGTTTCCGGGCGATATAAATGCATGATTTTATACCTGTTCACACAATCCGTGGTTGTCATATGCTCATGTTATCAATCGGAACCTAAAACTAATCAGGTTGTTAAAGTCGGGCTATATACCTATTGTAGTCGATTAGTACGGTAGCTTGAAACAAATTCAAACCATTTAATCCGTAATTAGAACAATAGCTATTGCATGTACAATGCAGTCCAGAATAAGTGCTGTTTGAAATGTAACGCTGGTTCAACTGGAATCAATCTGTACTGTAATTTTGTTTGTAATCCTGTATATTATGGTGTAATGCACACTGGGATTTTAGAAAAACATCCGTCCTTTGGCAACAACATAGTATTGAACATTTGGTCGAATGTTGCATTTCTCCTTAAATGTGATTATTAATTTTTTTCTTAGTGTCAGTAATTCCTATGGGATTATTGTTTTATTCGGATAGCTCATGAAAGGTGCAACACTTATTATTTGTAGAATAAAATTGGATTAAAAAAAGGACACGCATTCTTTACTTACCTTGAGGGGTTCCTGGGGAAGGGGCGCGGATTTTCTTCGTTTGTTTACAGCGAAACCTCCCCTTTGCAAGGCTGATTTGTTCAAGTAGGGAAAGGGGGGGGGCAGAAACGCACTTCGCCTGGGGGCTGCGCCGAGCTCCCCGCGCCCGCCCCGGCTCAGCCCGCCCCGGCTCAGCCCGGCTCGGCTCAGCCATCCCAGGCTCAGCCCGGCTCGGCTCAGCCCGGCGCGGCTCGGCTC